TTTAGGTTTTAATTTTTTTATTGATAGACTATATCATTACACAAATTTTGAGCCCTTGTGGACCTCGATTGGATTAAAAATGACAATTCTACACTAAATTTAGTGAACGAAACTACATTCTTCATTTTTAGTATCCCTTAAACATTTGCAGCAAAAATTGAAGTAATAAAATTTAGTTAAGCTCTAAAGTTACTAAAATCACTAATAAAGGATTTCTGAAATCGTAGATTTCGAATCCAATGTTAGTTTTCTAAATTTCAAAATGGCGGATCCAATATGGCGGACAAGTTTTTAAAAATCGATTAAATTCGTCTTAAATTCGCTACTCGGGGGTTTTCGGGGTCGCTGATTACGAATCTGATGTCAGATTTCAAAAATTAAAAATGGCGGATCCAATAGGTGCGAATTCGATGGATTTTAAAAAACTCGTTCACCATTATGAATCCATTCTTTTCAATTTTTGAAATCCGACATCAGATTCGTAATCAGCGACCTTGAAAACCCCCGAGTAGCGAATTTAAGACGAATTTAATCGATTTTTAAAAACTTGTCCGCCATATTGGATCCGCCATTTTGAAATTTAGAAAACTAACATTGGATTTAAAATCTACGATTTCAGAAATCCTTTATTAGTGATTTTAGTAACTTTAGAGCTTAACTAAATTTTATTACTTCAATTTTTGCTGCAAATGTTTAAGGGATACTGAAAATGAAGAATGTAGTTTCGTTCACTAAATTTAGTGTAGAATTGTCATTTTTAATCCAATCGAGGTCCACAAGGGCTCAAAATTTGTGTAATGATATAGTCTATCAATAAAAAAATTAAAACCTAAACTTTCTTTCCTGTTTGATGTAGAAAAAAATAGTAGAAGTTACTCAAATGTCTAAAAATCATCAAAATTGTCATGAAATTTCATCTTTAATCGACTGTAACTCTCTCAATTTTTGTTGAATTTTATTCTGTGACCTATGGATCGAAAGGTAATTTAATAACCTTTCCAATGATACCTCATTTATTATATTTTGACAAGCTAATTTTTCTACAGGTAAGTTTAAGTGGTGTCGCACCTCGAAAATGCAAAATTTGAAGCTACAGAAGAACTTCACGAGGGAAAAAAATTAAAACTATGATTTTCTGACTTAAAAAACACCAACTATTCGAAAAAAAATTGTTTTGTTCGATTGGCAAAAAAAAGTTTTTAATTTGTAAACCTGTGTAATAGAATAAATTTTGTAGGCAAAGCGATACCGCACCCATTGACATTTTTCCACAGTTGCTCGCATTCTCTGGCACCCACATGTAGTAAGAGATTTTTATCTAGTAGTCACTTTTTATGTACGTAGGACGTTCTTTTAGAAAGATCAAACGGAAAATACACTCATTGATAAGAAAGTAAAAATATTTGAATGTTGTGAAAATGTTTTCTTACTTTACAGAGATCGTGTGCCAAATAGAATATTCACGGAGATTCGATCGTGAATTTATTTCCGTTACGGTCACGCATTAATTGAACATTATACATATAACAGTTTCCAACTTTTATATTAGTAGATGGGTTTTGTACTTGTGTATTAGCGTGTACACCCTTGTTAAAATAGTCGTGTAATAATGTGTATCGCATTATGTAATGCCTCGTAATATATCGGTATTATTCTGTAGTACACCGAAAAAAAAATATTCTTGTTTTGAGAGGACAATTCCTCTTCTAAAATCCTCTTACATTTTATTCTTGAATTAAGAATATTACTCTTCATTGGAGACTATTCCTCTACTTTTAAGAGGAATTACTCTTAAGTGGAGAATAACCCTCCTAAAATAAGAGGATGTTTTTTGAGCCATATACAAGAGGAAAATATGCATTGAAATAAGAGGAATCCTCTTAAAACAAGAATATTCTTTTTCAGTGTAGGAAAATTATAAGTGTATATTATTGGAGTGCATGCCCTTTTAAACAGTAATTACCCCTTGGGTATTATGTACACAGAACAAAACTCTCAAAATGTTTACATCTTAAACCCAAAATAATTAAAATGTATATACTATTTGATATGAATTTTTTAAAGAGAAAAAAGGGAGGGGTAGATATTGAAAAAAACAGAATCGTAAAAGACGACTAACCAACTTCAACTCTTTTTATTCTTTTCCTTCTCTCTTACAAGAAAGTAAAGAGAAAGAAGAAAGAGATGAAAAGAGAAAAAAGAAAGGGAAGCCGATTGGAATGCACCGGGACAGGTCGCAAGGCTGCTGACATTCCAAAATTCGCAAGAAGCTCGACTAACAGAGGGCAAACAAGTTCAAAGTATAAATAGTACAGCCACAAAATTAAATCTTTAAGATTACGACCAGTTTGATTAAATACACCAACATCAAAAGAAGGGAATTCAAATAAAAATAAATAGAATTGGGGTGCAATTTTTATTAAGAAAGTGGTAACAGTAGTCAATAAAAATATGAAACTCAAGTTACCAACGTTTATTGGAAGAAAATTTTTTCTTTTCCTAATTATTTATTTTAATGTTAGAAGACTTTGAAAAACTGCAAAAGGATCAAAGATGGGGAAAGCAATCTATCAATTATTTTTAATACAATTTTAATGGAATTCCTCGAAAAAAGTTGTGACGCGATCTGAAGAAAGGGACCTTAGAAGCACAAAATTATAGGTTATGTTTGCAATTTTTTAAATGAAAATACAAAAAAAAGGATCAACTGTGATTTAAGGTCCCTTTCTTCCGAGGGGGTAATTACTGGTTAAAATGGTGTACACTCTAATACACTAAATTTTCCTGCTATTACGCGTATTATCTAGTATTATAGGGTATTACAGAACTATTATAGGGTATTACTGATTATTACAGAATATTATCTCTATATTATGTGGTATTACACTGACGTAATAATGCTCTATTACACTCTATTACGTGACTATTACATGAATATTACGTGAGGAGCGTACACGCTAATACACAAGTAAATACCCCCTCGCTTTCTTCAGATCGCGTCACAGTTATTATTCTTAAAAATCTTATTAAAATTCATCAAAGAAATTCAATTATTTTAAAAAGCCTTCCTATAATTTATTTATTAGAATTTAAGTCTTATTGTCAATACATTTTTAATTAAATTTCTTGAAAGAATTAAATTTTTTTCAAAAATTTTAATGAAATTCTTTTTAACAAATCAATTTTTTTCAAAATAACTTTAATAAAATTCTTCGTAGAAATTTAATTAATTTCAATAATTTATCAAAATTCAATTATTTTCAATATCTACTATTTCAATAAAATTTCACAATAGAATTCAATTAGATATAATTTATTTATTTATTGTAAATAATATAATTTTTCTCCAAAATACAATTATTTTCAAAAATTTTTTAATAATTCTTGGCGAAATTTCAATTATTTTCAAAAACTTTTTTCAATTCGATCAAATTTTTTACAGAGATTCAATTATTTTTAATACAATTTTAATCTAATGTCTCAAAAAATGAAATTATTCTTAAAAATGTTATTAAAATTTATCAAAAGATTTTTAATTACTTATTTAAAAATTTGTTGATAAAATTCTTTATGACAGTTCAATGTTAAAAAACATTCAATTCTTCAATAAATTATTTATTTTTGTATATTTACATAATAGTCGTTTCTACTAATTTAATTTAGTAAAATTTACTAATTCAAAAACAAAAAGTCAGTCACTAATTCCAATTAGTAAACATTTTTACTAATTCAGATTTATAGAGAAAGTATTATATAGCGTGAATTTTTAGAAATAATTGAAGTTTGAAAAGATTTCAAATTAAAATCTAATGTTTGAATTTTTCGTATACTTTTAAATAAAAATTGTGTAGATTTAATTTTTTTTAAAAAGTTTAATTGAATTTTTTTAAAAATTATTTCATGCTTTTATTTTTTTAAATATTTTTAATTGGGAATTTTCAAATAATCGAAATTTCATAAAATTTAATTGTAAACAAATAGATATGAAAATTCTCAAAGAACTTTTTTAAAAATTATTAAAAATAATTAATTTAAAGAAGAATTTTAGTTGAAAATTCTGGAAAACAATAATTGAATTGAAGTAATAAAAGTAATTTTTAATAAGTTACACTAACAATATCATGTTTTATAACAATTTTTTATAAGTTGTTTAATTTCATAAAGGTTTGAATTTGAAATTTTTGAAAATCTTAATTCTTATGGAAAAATTATAATGAATAATATTATTTAATTTTGTAAAATATAAATGTAGTTTTAAAAACTACTCAAAACTAATTTCTTAAAAATTTTTCGACCAATGAATGAATGTATGTAGTTCCATTTGTCATTGCCTAAGTTGCCTCATCAAAGGTGAGAAATAATAGAAAAATTTTTATTGACAGTATTTTTAAAGTTGGACAATTATTATTATTTAAATAATAATTATGTCAATAAAGTTATATGAACCATTATAACTACATTAAGATCCTTATTACAATGAATTAGTTTCTGTGATATGTGAATAATAATTACTTTACCTACTGCTACCTAAAGACAATTGCAAAAAGTTATTTTTTCATTTTCCTTTTTTATTGTAATTTGAATTAAATATAAGGCTAATTTACTTGGAAAAGAAAACTAAAATTTTGAAGAAAACATAATTGTCAACAAAAAGTACCTGACTAATTTAACAGCTTTAGAAAAACTTGCAGACCGGGCAAAATTTATGGTTGTCAGGAGGTCAAGAAGTACGACCGAGACTCAGTTTTATGGAGATGTACAACAATAGAAAACCTCTCGAGCATAATATCAACAAGAATCCTGACAGGTTCCATTCCTTTTAAATCTATATTAAGATTTTTGAAAAGGGTCTCGATCCTTGTTATTATCAATGGAATTCGAGAGATTTGACAAGTATTGGTGTGTTTGTCACGGGTAGAAAAAGGAGAAAGAAGAAAAAGAATAAAAAGAACCTGCGAGTCAGACCCCTATTAAATTTAGAGTCGATCAACTAAACTCACCCTGTTGCATTCCAGAGCCTCGGCACTGTGCTCCTCTTTCTGCTTGAAGCAGCTGCTGCACTTGCTCTTGTTGAATATGTTTGGCGCGAACTTCCTGCACTCGGCGCCAGTGCCCCGAGCACTGCACGCGGAACCTCCTGACATCTCCGCGAGGTCAACAAAAAACGCAACGCAACAAAATAAAAAAATAAATAAACAAGAGGCCCTTAGCGAACCGACAGCATCGCTTACTGGCCGATCGGTCGTCACCAGGCGACTCCGATTTCTTTAGCGAATTCCTGCGTCTTCGCCGATATCGCGAGAAAATCCAGGCACGAAAGGGTTCCTCGTCCTCGTCGTTGTTTATTTCCAACTGGCACGTGAGACGTTTACGGTACTTCGACCTTGAAGTACGAGGTAACCTCGATACGAGGGTTTCTCTCGAGTTTGCCTGATATTTTGATCGGCTCCTTCGCCTCAGTCCATTTCGCTTATTTTCTCTAATCTGTCCGGAGGAAGACTCGATTTTTCCTTTTCCGTTTTATTTACCTCCAACAAGAGGCTCTCAACTCCGGTGCCGTCGCTGGATATGTCGAACCCCCGCGAATCTCGATTGTCATTGCGTTCCCAACTCTTTGATCCTTCTTTGAAGCAACTCCCGCCGTTCCCAGAACCAAAAACAAACTTTATATCACCACTCCGCACGTGTTTATAAACACACTTTCAGCCTTCACTTCCCACTGTGGCAATATTTCTTAAAACATCCTTTTATTTCAATTTTAATCACAAGAAACTATTTCGACACACTGTTAACAATTTTGACAATCACATGTTCCACCAGTAGAACGGGTTTTAAAAATTAAAGATCCAAGAGCACTGTCATAACCTCAAAAACTAACCTACTGCAACTTATATTTCCACCAGGACGATTCCTTCCGTTGTCACGCGATTCTATAAATGCAATGCACATAATCAACATCAACGCGAAATTGAGGAGAAATATTCAGAAAGACGTGGCTACAGAGGTGAGTCGTGTCCACCTTCTGTCACAATCGCAATACCTACACAGCAGACCTCGTCGAAAAGTCACTACCGACGGCGACACTAGAAAAAATCAACAACTACGCAACATTATCCGTTCCCATTTTCTGAATATGCGACCCGGCACATTCTTGGTGCAAGGACTTTTCAATTTATTTACGTTCTGGTACTCCATGACAGAACGCTCGTGCACGCATCCATCTGTGTGAACTATCCGTTAACTCCAATTATATCCAATATGAGCGCTCAACTCATTCGCATGACCGCAGAAGGCGAACTGAATACAACTGAATACCAGGTAGGTTCATGTTGGATTGCAACGCAATCCCCGCTTTTCGCCTCTGCAGCCCCATCTCTTAGCGAGAGTCTGTAACACCGCAACTGGCGCTCAATTTTAAAATTACACCCTGGGGCTGGGATATTGTCATTCTCAGACGCATGGATTTTTTTTTAAATGAGTAGGTATAGGGTAAACGTACCAATTGCAGGAATCACAGTGGCATTTCCACTTGAAAATAGGTAAAAAAGGGGATTTTGAAAAACACGATAAAAATTATTTTGTTACAACATACAGGGTCTATTTTTTTAAACTTTTATTTTTCCTTCTATTTACAGATTTTTTGATTAAATCTGACTTCTTTTACTCCTTTCTTCTTAAATAATTTAAGAAAAAATATACATTTTTAGGGTTCCGTACACCTACGGTGTATCGGCGGAACCCTATTGGTGAGACTCTGTTGTCCGTAGCCAAATCGTGTCCCCCCCCCTAGCGGCTAAACTATTTGACCTAAAGAGCTCAAATTTGGTCCAGATATGTATTTTCACTCGTAGATTACAGGAAAAATATAGCGAATGTGATTGGACGTGATGGGCATAGCGTTGTCAAGGAAATAACAAGATTTTTGGCCAAAAATGCATAAAAAGTGACCATTCCCCCCCCTTAACTTCTAAACTATTCGACATGGAGGGCTGAAATTTTGCATGCTGGTGTATTTTTACTCGAATATTACAGGAAAAATATAGAGAGCTTGATATGTAATGATGGCCATAGCGTTGTCAAGGAAAAACTAAAAAATTTTTTTAAAAAAATTTTGTTTTCCTAACTTTTACATTATTTGACCTAATGAGCTGAAAATTGGTATCCTAGTGTATTATTACAGTCTGACGACAAAAAATTTATTTAAGAAACTTTTGAAAAAAAAAAATTTTTTTTAATTTTTTTTTTGAAAAAAAAAAATTTTTTTAATTTTTTTTTAGTTTAAACACGTGGCATTAAATATTTTAAGGAAGAGTGAAATTTTAAGAGAATAAATGAGAGATTGTTTTCTGACTTTAATTTCTTAAGTAAAAATAAAAAAAAATTGGACAAGTGTGTTTTAATATTTGTGTACGGAACCCGCCATTGCAGTGTGAGTACAACTCGCACTTGTCCAATTTTTTTTCTTTTTACGGTAAAATATATGGAGTTTTCTAAGGTTTGTTTTATGTTGCGCGCTATTTAAACATTTTACAAAAATAAAATCAGGGTGTCCAACAAGAATTGAGAAAAAGATTCCCTGACTTTTTACTTTCCTTATTTCTGCTTCTTTAAGACAATAATATGGTTAATAAAATATAAAAAATGTAATCTCATACTTAGAAGAAAAATCCTCTTCTAATATCCTCTTAATTATTTTTATTATTAATTAATTAATTGTTTTATTATTGACATTTGTCAAAAACATTGAATATTTAAAGGAAATATATGAAGGAATAAATATATTAAATAATGTAAGTACATAATTAACTTTTAGTTATTAACCCTCCGTCACATACCTTAGAAATAATTATACCATTACACACGTTTAGAGGGAATCCCTCACCGAATTGTAAAATAAGCGACACTACAACATAAAGGCCAACGCAGAATAGATCTGTAACCAGAACCGCAATCGTAAGCGTAACCGTAAGAATGAGTTAAAGAAGGATAGGTATATTGTTTATCCTTCTCTAACTCATTCTTACACTTACGGTTACGATTGCGGTTCCGGTTACAGATCTATTCTGCGTTGGCCTTAAAGGCGCTCGCACAGCTATATTTCCTGCATAAGTGTAAGAGAGAAAAAACATTAATTTTTAATTTTTTGACTTATTTACTCTCATGTGTTCCCGCATGACAACTATGCATGCAGAGCTGTGAGAGCGTCTTAAACGAAGGAATCAACAAAAATTTAATTTTAACACAAACTTACAAATATATGTAGTAAATTATTCTAAATTATAAAATTAATGAAATTAATATTTCGGTCTCAAAAATAAAAATTAATTACACGAATGTACATCTTCGAAGGAATCGAGGGGGTATTTTCTTGCGTATTGGAGTGTACACATTCCTGGTAATAGCTATGTAATACCCGTAATAGTGCGTAATGGTGCGTAATAGTCAGTAATATAGCGTATTACCGAGTAATAGCTGTGTAATAGTAAGTAATAGTCGCGTAATAGTATTGTTATTTGCATAGTTCAATTTATCAAATAATTAATTAACTAGATTGTCAAACACAGAAATTTGACTCTTATAAATATGGATGTATAATATGATATTAAAAATTATATTTGTACAGTATACCACGCCCTCAAATAGAGGAAAATAATTTTAAGTTACTATGTACATTAAACTCGACTTTAAATGCTTTAAGTGTTTCATGATTTAAAACAATGTTCTCGTTATTCTTGTAAATTAATGAAAATTTTTCATTTCGTTTCATGTGCATTATTTATTTATTTAAAGTAAATATTAGGGTAAGTGTGGGTATTACCGTGGGTGCGTGAGTTACCGTGGTTTCGCTATTTTTGTCAAATTTTACCATTTATATTCCAATTTGTTAATCCAAAAATTTCAGATAGTTACTTTCATATTGTATGTGTTTAATAAATAAAAAATTATTGTTATTTAACTTACATTTCTCGTTTTAAAAAATTCTAAATTTTGTAGGTGCGGAAGTTTGATAAATTGCTCATTGTAATGCAAAAATACAGTTATATATAAATCGCTTTTTCCATTATTAATACTTTAAACTTGTTAATTTTTGTATATTCGATTAATTAATGTATTTTTAAAGTCAAAACTTCGTGGTAAATTATGATTTAACGTATTTTTATTTTTATTTTATCAACACGGTAATTGGATAACGTTTTGAACTTGTGCGCCAAATACCGTGGGTCGTTATTATCATTAAAAATAATATGTAAAGTAACAAATCGTGCTTTTCAAGTTAAAGGAGAACCGCAGGAATTAAAAAATAATTTCAAAATGATTTACACCAAATACTATTGTTATTTTAATAATAATTACTATTTTCATAAAAAATATTTAATTAAATATTATTAGGAATGTATGTACTTAATAAAGGCACTAAATAAAGTTATTAATAGATTTATAACGAATTCTGTGATTATTATTAGTATCTGCTAAAATATAAGAATATTTATTGTTAAATTAATAAACCATTGTTTTAAATTTGCTTAATTTCATTCAACCGTTTGCGAATTCTACAAGTTGAAATTTTCGCGGTATAAGGCACACGGTAACTAGATCATCCACGGTATATGGCACACGGTATTCCGATCATGAAGCTTTGTGCACCACGGTAATACCAGCACTTGCATTACTTTCAAAAATATTTATTATTTAATAAAATATACGCACTACGACATTCTAAATTTTTTTATTATATCAAATAAAGTCAAAGATCAATTTAAAAAAAAATTATACAAATATCTTGTGAGGTTTGTTCACAATCTATTGACTAAGTCTGCATTAGATTTCAAACCACGGTAATACCCACATTTACCCTATGTACTTATAACTGAATTTTATTATTTATTTCATCCAAAATACTCAGAATTAATGATCCTAAAGTTCTGAACGTTCAAATGAACGAAATTTATTTATTTCTTCCTCAAATTCAATTTTTATGACAATAATTTTGAGTTACTATCAAAAAAATTAATTTTTAAAGTTTTTAAATGTAGAATCTAAGTTTTAAATTTTTATTCGAATCAATAATTTATGAAAATATTTTTAATACAAAATATTTCGTTCATTTGAACGTTTAAAACTTGTGATTCATCAGAATTACACCTGTAATATTGTGTAATATTCCTGTAATATAGCGTAATATTCGGGTAATATAACGTATTGGCGTAATACTATAGCGTAATAGGGGTATTAGTCATGTATTAGCCGTAATGTGCGTAATAGGGATTACTGTGTACACCATTTTTCTTAGAAAATACCCCCTCGGGATTTCTATCCCTTTACTTCCAGCAGGGTTATTTTGAAACTGTCAACATACTCCATAGATCTTATATTAAAAATTGAAAAAACCATTTTGAATTTTATATTAACCTATTTCAAATACACATTTTGCATTTTCCATTTTAAATAAGAAACAGAAAATCATTTTTTATTTTAAATAGGTTTTATGAACCTATTTGGCATTTTGTATTTTAAATAGATATGAAGAACCATTTTACCCAGCTCTGATTATTTTAGAAGTTATTTAAATTTTCGTAAAACCTTGAAAATGACGATTTTTAAAAATATCTAAATAAAATTCTGATCAAATGACTTCTGCAAGGTCTTATTCTTTTTAAAATATTATCATCTTTCAAAACATATACCGAAAAAAATTTTAGTTTTCATAAATTTTTTGTTAAAATATTGTTTTCTTTCCCTTGAAAATGGGTGTACTCACAATTTTGGCCCGTACTGTACTAGTACAGTAAATAGCTATACAATTTCATATTTAAAATTGAAATATTTTTTATAATTTTTAACTAAAATTCTTCTTTAAAACAATTACCTTTAGTAATTTTGAGAAAATCTTTTGTGTATTCTATTATAATTTAATTTAATATATATATGTTTATAGAAATAAATTTATGTTTTGAATTAAATGTTACGATATTTTGATAATTCGAAAATTTTTCAATTAAATATATAAATTAAAAAATTAAATTAATTTCAAAAAAATTTGAATAAAAGTTTTTCAGAGTTTTAGTTTAAATTACTAACTTTTTATTTATTTTAATATAAAATTTTAAAAAATTTTAATTTTAAATCTTTGAAATTCAAGTAGCATTTTATATTTCAAGAAATCAGTATTTTATTGCAATATGTGGAAGAAAAGTTGAAAAAGTCGCATTATTAAAAAAAAAAAGTAAAACAACGTTTGCGAAGCGGTTTTGCTTTGGCCTTCAGTAAACACAAATAACATGCGTAGAACAATTATGGAACAATAAAATTTAAATTTTGTAAACTTTCGCTCTATACATTATTTTATATCTAAATATGTTCATTTTCTACAATGTTGTAATACTACCGCACATGCAGTTGACTATTATTATGGAAATAAATATTAATATAAATGTTTTCACAGATCTCTTTCTTAGAGATTCAAAACTTAACGCACAAATTTGAGAGCTACTCAAGTCAAGAACACAACCAACTAGTCTCGTCAGCTGACATCCGTTCTGTTGCCAGTTCGACATTTAACTGTTCAACTGTTTTTTCCGGTTCCCAAGTTCACCGTTTCAGTCAGTTTCAGTATTTGTAAAAATCTATGGAGAATATGGTAGTTCCAGTGGTTGATGAAGCAGGTGACAGGTTTGTAATGCTTAAAATAATTAGTTTTCTTTAGAAATCAGTATGTTTTATTTCTTTTCTTTCGTCTTTGAATATTTTTGCAGTCGTATGAAAAACTAACCTCAAATGAACATAAACTTGACAATGCTTCCCCAGCATCCAGGTGTTGACTCCTCTTGCTCTTTTTTTACACTTAGTTGTCACTATTAGAAGATTGATTTTCTTAAATTATTATAAATTCCCCACCTTTATTATTCAAATTTTACATGATTATCAATTATTTACTAACAGAATCTTTTCGTTCAAATGAGTCTGGGTTATATCTAGTCAACTACAATGCACAAGTGATTTCATGCAAAATTTATTTATATATATGCTCCTTAAACAATGGAAATATTTAAATAATTATCTTCTTTTATCACCTTAAATATAGCATTAGAATGATCACTGTCAAAATTAGAAACACCTTAGAAAACAAACAAATTTAAGATGCAATAGTTTTAATCGATGTCTTACATAACACATTTTAAAGTGAAATAAATCGTGACAGAAATCCTTGTTCTAATCCGTGATCATTTGGTGCAATCAAGTGCTTTATATCCATAACGGAAGTCCTCTTACACAAATGTTTCAAGAAAAAATAGATCGTCACAAAAAAGTAGTGCATTCCTAAACGGAAATAAATTTGGCAACCAAACTCAGTTTTGAGAGAAATCTGAAAGTCATTTTGTAAGCAATGTTCTTTTTAATTTTAATTTCACGATTTATTCTAATCCCAATCCAATATACTGGTTCTTATGAATTATGGAAAATAATTATAATGATAATTGAAAAATTAATTAAGACTAATGTAAAATTTACTTTTTAGGGATGGAAACGTTGCCATTATTAGAGAGATTTACGACAGTGAAAATGCAAATGAAACTTTTGAATACGAACTGGAAAGGGCATTGGAGTCTGAATGTAGTTTAATTGTAATAGAACCATCTAAACTAGGAGATGAAACTTCAAGGTGGATAACAGTTGGAAATTGTCTTCACAAAACGGCTGCACTGTCAGGTGCAGCTGCAATAATTACAGGTATTATTTTCTTATATTAAACAGGGTTTCTACAACTCATGGAATTGTCATGGGATTTCATTTTGATTCATGGAATCATGAAAATCTCGTGGAATTTTTTTAGTTTTTGTTGTAAACCCGTGTGATTGAAATTCGCGCTCCTTTATTAATCAGGATGGTCACAAGTTTCAGTTTATCAATTTCCCTGACAATTTACTGACATTAAAATTACTTTCCCTAACAAAATTCTTTTCACAGTAGGAAAATGTTAATGTTTACGGAAAATGAGTAAAATTTATGAATTTTAATAATTTCTAAAAATTACAATTATAACCCTGCCTGAATTTAATTATTTTCTACAATTTTCACCTAAACTTCATCTCTGAATCAATTAATTTAAATAATTTTCAAAAAGTTCTTCTAGAATCCAATTATTTAAATACCTAAACTCAATTTTTTATATAATTGTGACTCTCCATAGTTTTTTCTTAAGTTCAGGGTTGACACAGGTCAAAGAATTCAGGAAAAAATCAGGGAAAGTAAAATTGGTCAGGGAAATCAGGGAAAAGTCAGGGATTTTTAGTAAAATGAATGAGAATATTCTTTAGGGTCAGGGAAAAAGTGAAAATTTTATCTGGAAATCAGGGAAAAATAAAATTAAATATTTGTGGCAACCCTGAAGTTATTAAGGTATAATATTTTCAGAAAATTATAATAAAGAAATTCTTACAATCAATTATTTAAAAATATTTTAAAATAATTTTTGAACGATAATAGTTTTTAAATTTTGAAAAATTTCTAAACAATTAAAATTTTAGTAAAATCTTTTCAAAATAAGTGAATTTTTGAAGAATTTTAATAAGTCCAAAAAGTAAATTTTTAATCTTAAAAAATTATTACAAAACAATTCTAAGAAATTGGTTTTTAAAAAATTTTATTAATGTAATTCTTCGAAAATAATTGTATTTCTGAAAAGAATTTTTGTATAATTAAAAAAAACTAATGAATTTTTTGATGAATTTTAATTAAAAACTTTGAAAATTACAGGGTGTCTAGCGTCCGGGAAAACCGGGAATTTGCCGGGAATTTAGTTCGACCGGGAAAAACCCGGGAAATTGCCGGGAATTGAAAAAAATATCCGGGAATTTTTGGAAATTTTCTCTAATTCATTAAAATCTATAAAAAAAATTTCAATTTAAGGTATAGTTCTCCGGCTGCTATACTCTTTTAAAAATTGATTTTCGATAGATTTTCTTCAAATTTTGAGGAAATATTCCTTCGGATGCCTTTTAAATGTGATAAAAATTTCAAAACCTTTTGCCATGTCAAAAAACGAGATATTGTGGTTGACATTTTTTATTTTTAACATAAACGCATGAAAAAGTGAAAGTTTGAACTTGAATAAGTCAAAATTTAGCATCGCAAAGGGTTAGTATTTAAAGGGCACCCAAAGAAACATTTCCTCAAAATTTGAAGAAAATAAATTTTTACAAGAGTAGAAGCCAGAGAACTACCTTCAGTCTTATATTTTTCAAAAATAAAAAAAAGATATATTATAGGTACATAGGCAATTTCACGTTAAATTTCAGTCCACATTTTCAATTAGGATGAAAATATATTATTGTAAATCTATTTTTTCATTTTCTATAGGTAACCAAATTTTTGGATTTTTAAAAGTAGACTTATTTTCAATTATCTATAACTCTAAAACTATTTAATTTAGAAAACTTATCTAATACATACTTACAAATAATAAGGATAGTTTGCAAAAAATATGTTGGTCCCCTATAGAATAGAAAAATAAAGGATACGTATACCTTTTTTCTAAAAGGAATAAATAAAATATACTTGTGACGTAGAATTTACCGTATATTATTATTATTTATATAATTGTTGCATAAATTTTTAACATTATAAAGTCTTCAATTGAAAGTTTAATTATAAATCCTAATGTTTTTAACTTATTGCAGTTGAATCTCAGTGACTTTTAAGGCTATGTCCAAGTTGTGAAATGTAAACAAACCAAAAGGTTACTACACCAGCACTAAAAACGCAATCTTGCGACAGCCAATTCTCCCAAAACAAAATAACATTTTTACACTTTCTTTACGAAAATGGAAAATTAAGTGTAATTAAGTGTCAAAAAAAATCATTTTTGGCTATGAGCAATAAAAAGCAATTAGTAAAATAACTAATTAAAATGACCTGTAAAACAGCATTTTTGACGCGTCGCGAAAAATAAACTGTTTGAGTATATCAACCGCACGGATGATGAAGAAGTTCCATGTCAGCGATTGGACCTTCAACATGTGGAAGGGTAAATTTTTCCCTTTCCTCCTTGAAATTACAAGAGAAAGGGTAAAAACTTCTTCATCGTCCGTGCAGTTGATATAGTCAAACAGTTTAATTTTTCGCGACGTGAACTCTGTTGCTAGCTGCACGTGCGCAGACCGTACCAAGGTCGCAATGACATCACCATGCAAAAAGGCACATTTTCTTTTTGACTGAAACTCAGTAGTTTTCTCATTTTTTCAGTTATTCAAAGTTTAGTAACCAAATTCAATACTTTAGTTCACCATTTCTATAAAGAAAATGTGAATTTATATTTATTTACGCATATGGGAACGGCGAAAAAATGCTTCACTATTTGCTCTATAATGAAACATTTTTTCGCTGTTCCCATTTGCGTAAATCAATATAAATTCACATTTTCTTTATGGAAATGGCGAACTAAAGTATCGAATTTGGTAACTACACCTTGCATAGCTGAAGAAATGAGAAAACCACTGAGTATCATTCAAAACCAAAACTAAGAATACATTGACAGCACCATGCGAAAATGCACATTTTCTTTTCGACTGAAACTTAGTTATTTTTTCATTTTTTTCAGCTATGCAAGGTGTAGTTACCAAATTCGATACTTTAGTTCGCCATTTCCATAAAGAAAATGTGAATTTATATTGATTTACGCAAATGGGAACCGCGAAAAAATGCTTCACTATTCGGTCTATAATGAAGCATTTTTTCGCGGTTCCCATTTGCGTAAATAAATATAAATTCACATTTTCTTTATGGAAATGGTGAACTAAAGTATCGAATTTGGTTACTAAACTTTGAATAACTGAAAAAATGAGAAAACTACTGAGTTTCAGTCAAAAAGAAAATGTGCCTTTTTTCATAGTGATGTCATTGCGACCTTGGTACGGTCTGCGCACGCGCAGCGAACAGCAGAGTTCACGTCGCGAAAAATTAAACTGTTTGACTATATCAACCGCACGGACAATGAAGAAGTTTTTACCCTTTCTCTTGTAATTTCAAGGAGGAAAGGGAAAAATTTACCCTTCCACATGTCGAAGGTCCAATCGCTGACATGGAACTTCTTCATCATCCGTGCGGTTGATATACTCAAACAGTTTATTTTTCGCGACGCGTCAAAAATGCTGTTTTACAGGTCATTTTAATTAGTTATTTTACTAATTGCTTTTTATTGCTCATAGTCAAAATGATTTTTTTGGAAACTTTGATACTCTAATTTTCCATTTTCGTAAAGAAAGTGTAAAAATGTTATTTTTTGTGGGAGAATTGGCTGTCGCAAAATTGCGATTTTAGTGCTGGTATAGTGACCTTTTGGTTTGTTTACATTTCACAACTTGGACATAGCCTTAATGTAAATATCTAAAAGAAGACATAAATGCCATTGGATATTGCAAAATAATTCCGAAATAATCATTTATCCACAAATATAAAAAAAAAATAATTGCAATTTCTATTATTTGAACTTTTGATTATCTGAACCAGATCCTGCCTGAATTAGTTCGGATAATTCAGTTTCCACTGTATTTAAAAAATTATGAAATTTTAATAGTATAGTCATTAATATCTTAAAAATAAATCCGGGAATAATTTAGTTTTAGGTCCGGGAAATCCGGGATTTTGCCGGGAATTTGAAAATCATAATTCGCTAGACACCCTGAAATTATTGTTTTCTCCAAAATATTAAAAATAATTCTAAAATGTTATTATTTTTGGAAATATGTTATTAAAAATACATTAAAAGTATTGAATTTTAAAAAATTAGAAGCTTATTTTCATTTTTAAATTTTCCTTCAAAGATTTTTTATTAAAATTTTTGATAATTCAATTATTTTAAAAATTTGCAATTAAAATTCTTCAAAAGTTAATTTTCAAAAATTGTAACAAAATACTTGAAATAAATAAATTATTTTTAATTAAATTTTACAAAATTTTAACTATTTAAAAGCAATTTTTGAGTGATTGGTTTACAGTTATTTTTTGCATTCTAAAAATCAAAATAAGTTGCATTTTTTTACTAAAAATTGTGGTATTATGTTGCAATGTCTGGAAGAAAAGTCGAAAAAGTATCAATTTTCTTAATTTCCCTGACAAAAAATTTTTTTTAATGTGTCATGGAAATTTTATCATTTATCACCTGGAAATTATGGAAAAGTCATGGAATTTTATAAGGAGAAATTTGTAGGAACCCTGTTTAAAAAAATATATTTTTGACAATGAAAATGACAATGACATTGAGTTTGAATCTAAATTTAAATTCTTAAAGTAAAATTTTATATAATTTAATAAGTGTAAGATATAAATTTTTATTGAGATTCTAATAATTTCTAAGTTAAATAAAAGTTGTGTTGAATATAAATTTTGTTTAATTATTTAAGAAAGAAAATAATGATTTTTGAGTGTATTTTAAAGAATTGATTTCTTTTAGGCCTAGTATGGGGAAATAAACTTTACCTCTGTGGACCTCTTGGTTTTACTTCTATTATAACATGTGGACTGTATACAGTTTCTTGGCAGTTTGATCCATGTTGTCAATATCAGGTAGAAACTGACACGAGTAAACTGCCACACGTTGAAGTACTTGCCAAGTTAGGACCTTCGTCACCTACATTTCTCGTTAGAAAAGATGACAGAAGAAGAAGAATCCTTCACAATACAATTACATTAATGGCATTTAGTGTTACTGCGTGGCGAGTTTATCAAGCGTTCAAATGAAACAAATTCCCTGCAAGTTGTGGGCTTTTTATACAGAGACAAACGGTAGGGCGTAACTAAATTTTGCGTATGATCGTAGAAAGACATAGAATAGCATTTGTTTGAATTAGGAAAAATACAATTCCTGTTGAACAATCGGTAGGCTTGAAATCCATCGACATTAACTTCAAGTTGATGAATTATTTTTATTTACTTTCCCATCCAATCTAAACTCAAAGATAGAAACGTGCTTCTCATTTTTTATTTTTATAAAAATTCAAATTAATTTACCAAAATATTTTATTTTTGAATTACATAATAAATGAAACAGAATTCTTCTTAAATAAAAGAAAATATAAAAAATTTGTCAGTTAACATTTATAATATAAGGTATTATATGTATTAAGACAAAGTTCTTTCATTCCAAACTGTCAACATTTTTCAAGGTAGTTCTTAAAAAACAATGAAATGACATGTTTCAGAGAAATTATATATTGTATTCTTCCTAGTTCTCGTAAAAGCAAGTCCTACTGTTAAAATATGAAATGTAAAAGTTTGACAATTATAGAGTCATGTTTTTAGAAACAATTTAAAGATTCATTTTTTCTCAACAAGTTGAGATTTGACACAAAATCGAATAAAAATTTTAGGTTTTTACGGTGACTCGAAGTCTTATACATAATACTTGACATGAGAGAACAATCAGTATCGACAAGGATAAACGGTTTTCTTTATAATATTTAAATGGGGTTGAAAGTATAAAAAAACCTTTGTCGGTTCTGCGATGCTGCTAAAGCAACGGCTGTAACTAGTTAACAATTGTTAAAAATTGTATATGTAGCTTACTTTTTTTATATACCAATTTATTTCTGTAATGGACCCAAAATATATTTTAAACGATAATTATCCAAGGTAAACATTTTTTGTATAGATCAACAAATTTTTCTGCAATTGAAGCCTCTTATAATAGTGTTGAAAAGATTTTCTACGATCAGAGCCTTCGTGTAAATAATGTTACAGTTATTTGAGCTTTCTATTTTGCATTTCTTCTGCATTTACTGATTTCTTAATTTTATTTCAGTCACAGGCAAAAGGAACATTTTATTATGCGTTCTATTGTAAATAATGTGAAATAGGTGTAAATTCAAATGGAAAAATTAACGGATTGGAAATGAGTGCATTCTTGCATATTTAATTATCTGCGATGTTTCTGTTATAAAAAATAAAAAAGATGCACTAACCTTTACTGACGTGAGTTTCAATCGCTTATGATCGCACATAAGCTGTAAATAGTGTAAACATGTTCCATTACCTGTACCAATAAAAATGTCAGATTACAGAAATAAAGTATAATTTTAAATAGTCCAAAAGAATCAAACAAATTTCTACTCCCAACACAAACTAACGAAACGTTAAGTAACGGATTAGAATTTGACAATAAATTTTAGAATCATAAAATAAAATAATAATTTTATTTTTTATTATTTTTTATTTTTTTTTATTACTTCTACCCGTTATTATTTTTTAACCATTTTTTAAAAACTCGAATACTTGTTTTAAAAATTTAGAGCATTTATATAATTACAGGGCTCGAACTCGGTCCGTAAATTCCGTAAAAGTCCGTAACTTTCCTTGAAGTCTGTAAAAATCCGTTTTATTGAAAAAAGGTCCATAAAATCCGTAATTTCATTCAAAAAGGATGAAAAGCTCCTAAATTGTACGATATAATTTAGATAATTTTAGAGAAATTATAAATGATTGCAGAAATTCAATTATTTTCAAAAGTAATAAAATTCTTCGCAGAAATTCAATTATGTTCAAAATTTTTAAAAATTCTCATCAAAATTTCAATTATCTTTCGAAATAATTAAATTTTATTCATTTTCGAAATTCAATTATTTTCAAAAATTTTCTAAAATTCTACACAAACTTTTAATTATTTTCAAAAAATAATAAAAATTTCACAGAAATTTCATTATTTACAAATTTTTGTTATAAATTTCTTCGCAATCATTGAATTATTTTCATAAATAATAATTCAGTTATTTAGTTATTATCGTAAATAATAAAATCCTTTTTAGGAATTCAATTATTTTCATAAAAATAATAAAACCCATCAGAATTTCAATTATTTTTAATACAATTTTAATCGAATTTCTCGAAAAATGTAATTATTCTTAAAAATTTTATTAAATTTCGTCGAAAGAATTCAATTATTTAAAAATTTGTTGATAAAATTCTTTGGGGGAATTGAATTTTAAGAAACATTCAATATTTGCATTTTATTTGTATTTAAATAATTGAATTCTAGTAGAATTTTCTAATAAGAATTGATTTAAAAATGAATTTCAGTTAAAATTTTAGATAATAATTGAATATTAAAAGCAATGTAGCGACTTTTCGGAAAATTGACAATTCGTAAAAATGGCCATTCGCAAAAATTACAATTCGCAAAAGTGACATTTCGCAAAATTGGCTTTTCGCAAAATTGGCTTTTCGCAAAAATGACTATTCGCAAAAGTGCAGTTCGGTAAAATGACATTTCGGAAAAATGACATTTGGGGAATAATCATGCATCCCGTTTAATTAATTTTTGTTGAAAAAATACTACAATTTTGATACTGTCACGCGGCGTTAGGGAACTTCCCCCTAATTGAATTTTTTTAATGTTATATTTTAAGTTTTTATTTTATAATATATATTTAATTGAAGAATTTACGAATAATTGAAATTTCGTAAAATTAAATATTGTAAACAAATGGTTCGAGCTCTGCAATTATAACCATACCTGAATTCAATTATTTTCTCTAATTTCCAACTAAACGTCATCCCTAAATCAATTATTTTAAATAATTTTCCGAAAGTTCTTCGAAAATTAAATTATTGAAATACGAAAATTCAATTTTTATAATAATTGTAACTGTCCATGTTTGTTTCTTAAGTTTTTTAAGGTACCTATAATATTTTCAAAAAATATAAATAATCCAATTTTTAAAGAAATTGATAAAAAAAATGATAACAAAATTCTAAGAATTCAGTAGTTTTTAAAAATATTGTAATGTAATTTTTCGAAAACTATTGAATTTCTTAAAAGAGTTTCTGTAGATAATATTTAAAATAAACTAATTAATTTTTTGATGAATTTTAATTAAATATTTTGAACATGATTTTTTCTCCAAAATGTTAAAAATAATTCCATAAAATGTTATTATTTTGTGTATGTATTTGAATTCGGAAATATGTAAATAACAGTAATGAAAAGACTAAAAATTAGAAACTAATTTTCATTCAATTTCATTTTTATATTTACGTTTAAAGATTTTTCATTAAAATTTTTGATAATCCAATTATTTTGAAAATTTACAATTAAAATTCTTCAAAAGTTGATTTTTAGAAATTCTAACAAAATACTTTAAAAAAAATAGTTATTGTCAATTAAATCTTACAAAATTTCAATTATTCAAAATCTTTTTAATTGTATATTTTGAAAATTTAAATAGAATAATGATTTAAAAATAATTTTTAAAAGATTTGTTTATAGTTATTTTTCGCACTATAAAAATCGAAATGAGTTACATTTAATACTAAAAAATATGATATTTTGTTGCAATATTTAATATTTGGAAGAAAAGTCGAAAAAGTTGCAATTTTTAAAAATAAGTGGAAAAAATCCCAATTTTCTCAATTTCCCTGACAAAAAAAATTTTTTACTGACATTTCCCTGACTTTACTGACAAAAATTTCGTTTTACTAACATTACTGACATATGTCAGTAAAGTTAGTAAAACCACCCTGGTTCTATAGAAATGAAAATTTTATACATGAAAAATGAATAAATTTTAATACGTGATTTTTAAACAATTTCAGCCTAAAAATAAAGTTTTTTTTAAAAAAATGCTTCCAAAAATGTGATAATAGAAGGGATGAAAAGACATTCTAGTAGAAACCAATTTCCCTTTCAATTTTTCTTAAATCCAAAGTTCAAAAACACTACCATTGGGAAAATAAAGCCAAGAATAATACAATTTAATAAGAACAGTTTATTTTAAACACTTTGCTTATTTTCAACACGTTCAACAAAAGTTGTTTGATTAAAGAAAGCTAAAATAATAATTAAAAAGGATTATAAATCTGAGGAACGAGCGACCGCGTGCACAACGTTTTACGAACAAGAGAGAAGTGACGCCAACGAACAGTGTGAACATAACGTTACTTCGACGATATTCGATATATTTTTATTTGTTAAAAAGATCGATTTTATTCTAGTTATTTATTTTTATTTCTTAACTAGATTTTCTAAATAATAGATATGAACAGATCTTAGTTTCCAAACAAAATGTGAAAATTAATTTTTTCATTCTGTAATTTTTCTATGAATACAAAAAAATGTTGTCTACAAAATTAGGGATGGATTTCAAAATCTGCTAAGTTTTAAGAAAAATTCAAAAAGGGTCAAAATATTTTATGACCATTGAATCCTTCTCAAAAAATTATTATAGAAACAACTTTATGCAATATTAAAATTATTTTCTCGATATAAGTAAAAATATTGGTTTACCCTCCCCGTAAAGTTGAGATTCACATAATTTTTTAGAACTAATTATTATACAATAATGAAATAATAATTATTGTATGTATGGACATTGATAAATAAAATATTTTTTTTATTAAATATTCACCGAAATAGGAAAGCAAAGAAAAAATAATACATGTATGTACAAACATTGAAGAAATGACCTAGTTGTTTTTTGCTAAACTAGATTTAGAATTTTTAGCCCGTATTTTCATAATCCAGAAATAAAGAGAAGGGCACAATGTGCGAAGTAAAATTGCAATCTTTGGAGAAAGTGGCGATATTGCTACATCTTTGCTACCATTCAACATAGATTTGAGCACTTCCTCGGCTACATAGCTTGCTGAAAATCCTTTTTGTGTTGCTTCATCCATTACTGTAACAATAATTTATTTCATGTAGAATTTATGTACGTATTTTTAAACTGAAAACATCTGTTTGTGTTCGATTTTTCTAATTATTACAAAAATTTTATTCATTTTCTAAAATAATAATATATTTTGTAGTTTCTCATTTTTCTATAAATGTAATGAGCTCTGGGGGCCGTATTCTCGAAAGCATTCGACAATTCTCGCATGCGTAAAATGTCGAATGGTTAATGTCGCATGCGACTCTGAAAGTCTATTCTCAATGACCGTTCGAGATAGGTTGTTCGAAAATTTCCGTGTGCGACATTCATACAGTTGCCGTCGTTTCCAAATACTTATCTGCCAATCATAATTGAGGAGGAAGAGAACTTGACATATGAAAAAAATACAAATAGTTATCCGTTCATTTAAATATTTCAAAATCAATTCAATTTTGCGTTTACAATTTTTATAAACAAATTAACTTTAAGCGGTTTCAGTTTGAAATTTTATAAGATTTTAATTTTGAATGAATTTAATTTAAAATTTTGATAATTCAAATTCTTTTGAAATTAGTTAAATTTGGCAATATATATTTAATTAATTATTAAAAATAATGAATTTATAGAAGAATTTTAGTTAAAAACACTAAATACATTGAATTTTGTAGACGTACGTTACAAAATGATTACAAAAATTAAATTATTTTTAAATGTAATAAAATAATGGAAAAATAATAACAATCAAATATTTATTTAAATAGAAGTTACTGATATTATTACGAATAATTTTATAATTAAAGAAATTCGTAAATAAATGTAACAACATTTTTTTTATATTAAAGTTTTAATATTAGCATTTGTAAATTGAGAATTTTCTACAAAAATGTTAAGAAACTGGAATATGTAATATTTTTTTTTAAAGAAAAGAATCAGTTTGTGAACAATATTGTTATTGAAAAATTAAAATTATGCATAATAAAGGGATATATCCCTTTATATTATGCATAATTTTAATTAATAAATATATATATTTCCTATTTTTGCAAAAAGAAAATTTATTTGTTAATCAAAATTTTTTGTAATTTTATAATTTTAAATATTATTTTATTTTAAATCCTAAAAAAGAGCATACTTTCAATTTGTGAAACAATATTTTTTAAAGAAAAAAACAAAAGCATACACAAAAACTAACTTTAAAGTGTGAACAGACAGAAAAAATGAAACGAAGATTAAAAAATTAAAAAAATTTATATTGTTTACATGATTCATTCACAAAAATAACACAAACATGTGAAATTTATCCATTATAAATTTTGCATATTATAAATTATTTACATAAACTTTTATTTCACAAGTTTACTTTTAATTCTTAAACAACACATTTAGGTTTCTTTCTTTCTTTTGGTTTAATGGCCTCTGGTCCCTTGAGTAGGACAAATAGCCAATACAATTCACGTATATGTATATTATCACTTGGATAGGCTGTATTAGGAATTAAGTTCGTGATGGAGCCAATGAGGGGCCGAATGTTCCGTTCGTACAGTTTAGTTATCACACACAAATAGTAGAGTATGTAGAAGTCAATTTTCACTGAGCAGTGTGAGTTCAGCTTATTTCACAAGTTCTGCTGATGTTGCTTGTCACTTTAGGGTTTAGGTTAAGGCCAACGCAGAATAGATCTGTAACCGGAACCGCAATCGTAAGCGTAACCGTAAGAATGAGTTTAAGAAGGATAGGTATATTGTTTATCCTTCTCTAACTCATTCTTACGCTTACGGTTACGATAGCGGGTCCGGTTACAGATCTATTCTGCGTTGGCCTTTAGTCACTTTAGGGAAGGGTGGTTGGTAAGCCTGAGAAGGAAAGGATTTAAATTCAAATCTTTCTTTTAAATGAGTGGTTTTTATAGCCACAATTTATTTTTATAACTGTAATTTATTTTATTTACTTTGTTATGTTATTATAGTTATCACTATTATTGTTTTTTTATATATATATTTTTATATATTTATTTATTTTTTTTTTTTATTTAAATTTTTATTTTCTTCAATTAATCTTTATCTATTTCCACTGTGCTTGTTTGTTAAACTCCCCCCCCCCACCTTTTTTTTTTTTTTTTTTTTTTAAGGGGACTTTCTGGTTTAGAATTTCAAAAAAATCGATTTTTTTTTTTTGCTTAAAAATGTTCCTTAGTATCATAGAATTACTGTCCCAAAACGATTTTTAAAAAATATGTACAAAAACAAAAGTTATAACAATATTTATGACGGTATGTATTTCAACAACAATCTACAGTTATCTTATTTACATATTTGGTGTTCCTCTTTTATTGATATTAGCTTGAAACATGTTACTCGAGGGTTTTTGGGGTCGCTGATTACGAATTTGATGTCAGTTTTTGAAAATACAAAATGGCGGATCCAATATGGCGGACGAAAAAATAAAAATTCAACCGGATTTGCTTAAAACTTGTTACTCGGGGGTTTTTGGGGTCGCTGATTACGAATTTGATGTCAGTTTTTGAAAATACAAAATGGCGGATCTAATATGGCGGACAAAGATTAAGAAATTAATTAAATTTAGTTGAAAATGGTTACTTGTGGCCTTTTGAGATTGCTAGTTATGAATATAGGCACAAAACATTAACGTTCTAGGAACGTTTTAAATACATATGGGTAGTTCTACAAACGAAGGAAGAAAATGAAGAAATTTTTGGCACAACATTTTTTTTACGTTCAGGATTTAAAAAGTAGGTTAAATTCAAGTAAAAGTATTGTCAAAGTTACCTAAAAGTGGCCAGTCAAAAAAATAAAATTTTAAATTTTACATCTTAAGCACATGAGTATTCTGTCAGAAAGTGCCAGGAAACTGAGAATTGGGTCATTTTTCATCTAAAAAATTTAAAAATAATGCTTAATAAAAAAATAAAGCATACTGGTCAACAGGGAATAAGGTTCTACGACACCTCGAGCAACAAAAGTATAAAAACATAAAATATTTTTTTTAAAAATGCGTGCCAGGAAACTGAGAATTTGTCTGACCAAATGCCCATTTCGATCACAAAGTACAAAATTTTAGTTAATTGAACTGCAAGTTAAGTAAAATGCAAGTGATATCATATTTAGTTAACCTTTACTAAGCACTGTGAAAAATATTGAATTAATCGGAATAAAAATTCTGAATAATTTTAACGTTTTTTATGATGCCAGGAAACTGAGAATTAATTCGAGGGACAAAATTTAAGATAATATTTTTTAAATAAAATATCAAGTATTGTAACAATTATTTAAATCTTTGTGAAGTACAACTATTTGAAATTATTATCCAAGTGTAAATTTGTATTTAATCGCTTAAAAATAATATTTATAAAATTTATTAACTTTCATTTTCACATTGGGACATGCCAGGAAACTGAGAATTTATCACTTGAATGCTTATTTTTTGCAAAAAAATTTTTTTGAAACCGGGTAACGTTTTGAGGCATAATAGTAATCATTAAGCACTACAGTACCCATTAAAAATAATTTTATTTTTTTTTAAATTAATGTAAAAAACAACCTTGGACAACATATATTCCCTCGTTTGTAGAACTACCCATATACACAAAATTTAAGATTAAATTCGTAATTATCGACCTCAAAAACCTCTGAGAAACAAGTTTTAAGCAAATCCGGTTAATTTTTTATTTTTAGTCCGCCATATTGGATCCGCCATTTTGAATTTCCAATAACTGACATCAAATTCATAATCAGCGACCCCAAAAACCCCCGAGTAGCAAGTTTTAAGCAAATCCGGTTGAATTTTTATTTTTTCGTCCGCCATATTGGATCCGCCATTTTGTATTTTCAAAAACTGACATCAAATTCGTAATCAGCGACCCCAAAAACCCCCGAGTAGCAAGTTTTAAGCAAATCCGGTTGAATTTTTATTTTTTCGTCCGCCATATTGGATCCGCCATTTTGTATTTTCAAAAACTGACATCAAATTCGTAATCAGCGACCCCAAAAACCCCCGAGTAGCAAGTTTTAAGCAAATCCGGTTGAATTTTTATTTTTTCGTTCGCCATATTGGATCCGCCATTTTGGATTTTCCAAAACGGACATCAAATTCGTAATCAGCGACCCCAAAAACAGCGGGATACGAAGTTCTGTTGTAATAAAAAGTTGTTTGATATTCATGACTCAATGAATTATGTTATGAAAACTTTAAACGCGTTTTTCTCGAAAACTCATTTTTCAAACTGGTACAGAGCTTTTCTCGAAATCTACCGAACCGATTTTGAAATCCCAAAAATTTTTTGATTCTTTATTTAAAAAACTGGTGCCTAAACCTCTAAAAACTCATATTTCTACCGCCTGTGTTTTTATATGGAGGTAAATTGACCCAAAAACACGGCGTTTTTGCGAGTTTTTGAGAAAAATGTACATATAAAATAAAAAAACCTTTAAAAAAAATCGTTTTTGAGGTTTAGGCACAAGAATAAATCCTTATGAAGAGATTCCCGTTTGGAACTTGAATTTATGTATTACAGGTTGCCCGGAATGTAACGTACCAAAAAAAAGGTATCTTTTGGAAGACACCACCTACAGCTATGAAATTGAACTAAATACACTCAAACATATTTTTTAAATTTTCTCTACGCAATGTGCTACAATGTCCAAAAATAGTTTTTACAATTTCTTTAATACTGTTCTTACAATAAAAGTTTTAAAACCTTCCTTTTTTGTCAATTCTAAACCAGAAAGTCCCCTTAAGAAAGCAGAATATATTATATTATGACATTTCCTCTCTCAAAGAATTTTCCCAGGCTTCGAGCCACTTGTTGATCCGGGTTGTAAATTAAATCCGAGAGATCCAGCATGTCCGGATTGAAATTCACTACTTTATAGAATTTAAGAAGTTAAATAGTTCAGCCCTGCCAGATGAAAGGACAGAGCAATCTCTCAAATAATGAGTAAGATTTTTAAGACCCATACCACAGGGACACCTCATATCAATCTGCCAACCCATACGTTCGAAGTGATCAT